TTTAGTTGTTCCTTCGAATCACCAAAAACAACGCAAAAATACTAAATTCACCTCGGATTCAAGTCTATGAACTTTGAAACTTCTAACTTTCACATCCGATGACGAAATACGTCAAAACTAGTCCGAATGACTTCAAATTTTGTACACAAATCACATTCGACATTACGGACTTTCCCCATCTTTCGAAACCGCATTTTGACCCCGATATCAAAATTTTCACTTTCGGTCGAATTTTCTCAAAAGCCTTCAAATTTCTATATTTAGTCAAATGACTTCAAAATGACCTCCGGACATCCGAATTCACTTCCGATCACGCTCCCAACTCCATAATTACCATACGGAGCTATTCCCAGACTCAGAATCCCAAACGGACATCTATAACACTGAAATGCCTTCCAACCCAAATTTATGCAATTCTTCTAAAATACTAACTTTCACAATATACGCCGAAATGCTCACGGGTTATCCAAAACCAAATCCGGACATACGCCCAAGTCCGAAATCATCATACAAATATGCTGGAACTTTTAGATCCCAATTCCGAGGTCGTTTACTCAAAATTCCAATCTTAGCCATTTTCTTCAACTTAAGGTTGTCGCAATGAAAAGTTTCTTTCCAATTTGACTCCGAATTTCCCGAAATTCAACTCTGACCATACGTACAAGTTAATATACCTGAAATGAAGTTGTTCATGACTTCCAACTGCTGAACGACGCGCTAGAGCTCAAAATGACCGGCGGGTCGTTACAATTATGCACTCAACTTTATCAAGCAAAGACATTATTGAAAGCTCTTCAGGTGATTCATTTATATTGGTGAACTGAATGAGAAGAAAAAAACAAATTAGTTTGATTAAGGCAGAGTATGTAGACAAATTGTAGATATTTTGTAGGTAAATTGTATAATCATAAATAAAAACCATTTACCTTCATCTATTCCGACTTGATCATTCTGTCTTCAATTGAAGCTAACCAAATCTGACCCTTACTAGCCGACCAGTTAAGTATGCGAGGGATTGAATTAGAAATCCTTGTATCTATATCAGTGTTTACGAAGGAGCAACACTAATACAACCATACTTGTATGGCTAGTGGGAATCCTCAAATGAGATAAGAATGAACAAAAAGATTTAGCATGTGCCTAACTGATTCAATCAACTGTCTGTAAGACTGAATACCCCATGAGTATGTCTCGTACTGACTGGATTCCACCAAATAAAACCTAAAATAATCTACCAACCCAATATGGTCTTTCTCTGAAGGACAAATGAAGAATTCTATGAGATATAGAATACATAACTTTACTGCATCCTCATCATTTACCCAGATTTTGTTGGTTACAATCTATTTTAGGTATGTCTTCTCCACTTTTACCTTGTTTGGAAAGTAACTGTTCATTATCTTACTGACATAATTTGTAGTGTAACCAAAGTCTGTCACCTCGGTATGACATCTAAGACTAGTTATTAATGTATACTCTCTCAATCCAAATTTAACCTCTCACCTTTTAACTCAGCTGAAAAATAGGAAGCATCGGATGAATTCAATTCATACTTCATAAGAAGATGAATAGCTTGATTTTGCATGGATAAATTGGGAAATGACAGCAAATAACCAAAGTATGTCTTCTCGAATAGCTTCAAATCATTTGGAGACAAAAGCTCTTTAAGTTGGCTAGGAATGCTAGGGTCACATAATGTCTGGAATCTAAGCACCTCATAATCAACATTATGAGATGCAAAAAAATGTTCATTCTGCACAAAATATAAAATAATCTCACATTAATACAGTGCTTAAAAACATAGATACGTTTGCAATTTATCTACAAAATAACTATAAAAATATACAAAATATCAACAATTTTAAACGGATCAATAAAGCTACAATTAATCTTCAAAATAAAGAAAATAATCTCACATTAATTCAGTGCTTAAAAAACATAGATACATTTGCAATTTATATACAATATAACAACAAAATATCTACAATTTTAAACATATCAATATAGCTACAATTAATCTTCAAAATAAAGACAAATAATCTATGAAGCAGAAAAAACACAGATTATGTAGATTTTTAACAACTAAAACAAACGAAATAATTAGTGAAGAAATTACTAAATTCTTACTTTCACCAATGACCGTTTTCGAACATTTTTAGGAGATTTAACAGTAGGGAATTTTTTTGAAGTTTTCTTCTTTTTGGGAGTTTTTGAACTTGGAGACACCTTCGCTTTCTTTCCAGGTTTACTGATAGGCACATCTTCTACAAAATCATCAGCCGCAAATGGCTTCTTCCCCACCTCGACCAGAATCCTCTTAGCCTATTCAGTCAGACCCACCAACCCAAACCCAATCAAACCAGCCAACCACCAAAATGCACCCATGATCACTCGATCACAAACTAATAGTCTTAAACCTCGTCAATTTATCACAACCACTGCTTCATTTTAAAAAATTCCCACGAAGCCAAGCTAATTCCTTATTGGAATTCAGCAATGCAAGCCAAATTTGATGCTCTTGTTCGCAACCAGACTTGGGATTTGGTTCCATGTGACTCTTCCAAAAACGTAGTGGATTGTAAGTGGCTATTCCGTATTAAGTATAAACCTGACGGTTCTGTTGATAGGTATAAGGCCCGTTTGGTTGCCAAGGGATTTACTCAGCGTCCTGGACTTGATTACCATTCCACCTTCAGTACAATAGCCAATCCTGCTATTGTCCATCTTGTCCTAACTATAGCTACTCAACTTGATTGGCCTGTTCATCAGCTGGATGTTAACAATGCCTTCTTGCAAGGTAGTCTTGATGAAGAAGTCTATATGCGGCAGCCACCGGGATTTGAAAGTTCTAAGAATCCTACCCATGTATGTTGTCTTCAAAAGGCAATTTATGGCCTCAAGTAGGCTCCTCGTGCTTGGTATACTGAACTTAAAAACTGTCTGTTTACTTTGGATTTTTTTTAAATCCCGATTTGATTCCTCGCTCTTCATTTTGCATAAATATGGGTTCACTGTGTACATTTTAGCCTATGTTGATGATATTTTAGTGACTGGTAATCACCAACGAGGTGTTCATTATATCATTGAGGCTCTCTCGAAACGTTTTTCACTGAAGGATTTAGGACCTCTTCATTACTTTCTTGGTGTTGAGGTAATTCATTCCTCTACTGGTCTCTTTCTCTCTCAACAAAAGTATACTATGGACCTACTGCATGAGGTTGCGATGTATAATTGCAAAGGTGTTTCTATACCCATGACATCTACTGTTGTTTTTGACCCCTCACCTGATGATCATCTAGTTGATGGTTCTTTTTACCGACGCATTATTGGTAAGCTTCATTACCTTTCTTTCACTCGTCCCGATATAGCTTATGATGTCGGCAAGTTATCACAGGCTATGCATCAACCGCTTATGTCACATTGGGTTGCTCTTAAGAGGCTTCTCCGCTATTTCCGTTCCACTACTTCCTATGCTGTACACATTGCCAAGGAGAGTGACAGTAGACTGCTTGCTTACTCTGATTCAGACTGGGCGGGAGATCCTCATGATCGCACCTCCACCACTGGTTATGCTATCTATCTTGGTCGTTCTCATATTTCATGGTCTTCGAAGAAGCAACGTTCAGTTTCTCGTTCTTCTACAGAGGCTGAATATCAGGCAGTTGCAGTTGCTGTTTCCGAGACTAATTGGCTCACCCATCTTCTTCAAGAGCTTCAGTTTCCTTTAACTGCAGTTCCGAGAGTTCTTTGTGACAATGTCAGCACCACTTATATTTGTGCCAATCTTGTTTTCCATAGCCGCATGAAGCATGTGGCTATCGACTTCCACTTTGTCCGTGAGCATGTTGAGCACAAACAACTTGAAGTTACCCATTTACATGTTGCGGATCAAGTTGCAAAGCCTCTTCCACAAGCAATTTTCAATAAACATTTTTCCAAGTTGGGCGTCATAGACCTCGATGCCAACTTGCGGGGGCGTAATAGCAGCAGTAACAAGTTATCTCCTTCTGTATAGGACTTTTTGTTATTCTGTTTATAATATCTCTTTTGGTGCTTATCGAATTCCTTTTGTTTAGGATTGTTATTCACATAGGTTTTTCTGTATCCTAGATTCTCTCTAAGTTGTTACATTATTCACAACTTTTATGTACTACACTTGGCTATATAAAGCCAACCTTATAATCAATATAACATAAGTTCTTCTTCTGCCTTTATCATTCTTTAAGCACGTCTATCCAAACACATAAATACTATTTAAAAATTCAGTTTCAGCACTTCAAGCTTATAGCTATTTACAGTCAGTTGATCCAAACGGACTCTTAACCTAAAGAAGAAATTTGCCCATAAGTAAAGGAAAAGGAAAACACTTACACCTGTACTTGGTGTTTATACTAAATCAAAAGAAATTAAACCTAAAAGACTTACAAGTCAAAAAATGAGAATCCTAAATCAAAGAAAAATGTGAACATTTCCATAGGATAAGTGAAAGTATCTTGTATGAATGCTCAGCTAAATATCTGTACATAACATTTCCAAGACAAAAATGTTAATCCTAGCAATTAACTTTCTGTACTACTAAGTCTATAACTTAACTTATGAATCCATAATATAGGTGGTGTCATCACCATAATCTCCATTAAATTACTCATCAGCTAAAAAAGAAAAAGACGACCAAATATAAGACTGAGCTCTCCGAGCCCTTTGCCGCTTTTTTGTCAGCCCCCAGCCTTTCAAAAATCTGTCTGTAATGCCATTCGTATTATCCAATGTATGCTGCAGGAGTGAGCACACTGTTTTCTCTCCATCATTGGACCGTCTCCTGGCTCTGGAACTCGTCCTACTCGGAGTTTTCCTCCACGTACTTGCTTTAGGAGAAATATTTTTTTCATTTGCCTGATGCAAAAGAGAGTCAACTGCAGGTACTGAATCTCTCAGATTAAGCTTCATAGTCCGACTGCAGTCATTCCTATCGGAAAGAGGTACATCGCGCTCAAAATGGACTTCCATGTGTTGTTCAACCTCATTCTCTGGAAATCTTGCCAAAGCAGCAGCAACTTCAGCAAGCAGACCTAGACATTTATTAGAAGCTTCGGATGGTTCACTGATGGCAGTCTTCGAATACTCCCCAACGGCAGATGATGAAATAAAAATAAGTATATCAGCTGCAACCTTGTCAATTTCCTCGACGAGGTCACTATGGCCTCCTTTTGACAAATGGAGTGATGTACCAATTATAATGTCCTGAGAATCTCCTCTAGGTGGAGAACACTCCTTATTTTCGGGGCTAACAGGACCTTCCACTTCTAGATCTCTTTCTGCAGTAGGCGTCGTTGCTTTACTTGGACTAGACGATAAAAACTCTTCTTTGATGCAAGAGTTTAAGTCAATGCAAATATTAGTTGTTGAAAGCTTGCTATCAATTCTAGCAGCTATAAGGTGATTATTCCTGGTACATTTTCTAGATTCAGGTGTAGAATCAGGAACTACGCTAATGTCAAAAACCTCAGAATTTTTATGAATCTCTACATTTCTTCCTTCAGGGAAATTAAGACGGGAAATGTTGGAGGTATACGCAGACTGGTATTCAGACAAATGGTTAGGAGGTGTCAAATTTAAGTCCATGCCTTTCCCTGAACTAGTGCAGTTAGAGACCTTATTGTCTTTAACAGCAGCGATGTGTTCACATGTATTTTCCCTGATTTGCTGGTGAATGTTTTCACATTCAAATGCAGAATTCTGCCACTCTGATTCAACAGGCTGTACGGGTTCATTTAGGTCAAACAAAAGAGAAGTGCCCCTGCAACTTGAGAGAGAAATTGATGAATCTCCAAAGTTGACTTTAGAATAACATTGAGGTTGAAGCTCTGCTATCATAATATTGGGCCTTTTAACAGGATTTTCCACTTCAAATGGCTCCCCTTCTTCATTGTCAATGTATTCTTCTGCTGGAACTTCAAGATCCAACATTCTCTTTCTTGATATATTGCTCTTTGATGATGATAAGTTGTGTTCTTTTGAGACATCTCGTCCTGAAAAATAATCACCGCCTTGTTGCACAGTCTTACCAGTAGAATTAGAAGACTCTTGAAACATTTCTTTACTTGGTACATATGGCTCGATGCTTGTGAGGTTTACTATGGGCCAATAGGTTTTTCCGAAAATTTCGGACCTTAACTGAGACATAAATGTATTTGACTCGGACTGCGAGTGTAAATGGTCATCCACTAGTTTTCTCCTTTTAATCTCATCCATTAATTCCCTTTGTCTTCCATATATGCGATGGAGTTCCTTAACCTGAAGAGCACACATTTAGATATCTGCTCAATCATGATGCATTTAGTGAATCACCAAGTAATGAAGCACTCTCTCAAGGTTATCATTGAGAAAGACCAAAAATTGATCAGAAACTAAATGCAAACTTACATATAGCAGGCATACACTAGATTCGTCAACAACAACAACAACTATGCATCAATCCCAAGTAAGTTGGGGTCGGCAATATGAATCCTCGCTGAATAACTAGATTTGTCAACCAAAAAAATGAAATGGAGAGAAAGAATCTAGGAAGAAGAATCACCAAATCTAGTAACATCTCAGAAGGTTTATTTTAAAACATGAGAACAGGAATAGGTATATATAAGTATAATTCACTTACATAAAAAACAAACTGAAGATTCAGTCAAATATAGACACTTTTGTAGAAGATGACTATAATCTGTTTCAATGACACTAAACAGCGCAGGTGTATACCTGATATCTAAACGTTGCTTCATGCTTGAGTATCATCTGTCTCAATATTTCCTTTTGATGAACTAAATCTTGGTTCTGGTTCACCATGAATTGAGGCAATGAAATATTGAAGCCTCTGCTACTGTTCCAGGTAATATCATTGTGGGATTTTGACCATGAATTACCACTCAAGGCTGCATTATGATCTCTTGGGTCGTAATATTCTGGGAAATATCCAGTGCACTGCATCTTTCTACCCTCCCTGAAACACAAAACGCTATAGAATTTAGAATGTAACATGCAAATAAAACACGATAGTGCACATTATGCTCAACGATAACATAAAAAGCTGGGAACCACTTTTAAGTACTAATAAAACTGCATGTAATGAAGTGCTTGCAAAGTGGTCGCGCATGCTTCTTTCCCTACTTCGAGGGAGAGAGATGAAAACTTCCCACTCTCAAGATGTCTTCTAATTGATGTATTTTTTCTCTCCTTCAAGACTCCAAAAGGAGATAGTTTATTTTCTTCTCAACATTCTCCTATTTGCTTCCCAAATCAAACAAAAATGGACGACTACACTCATTTTCCTCTTTTTATTTTCTCCCTTTCCCTTCTCTCCTCTGGTATAAACAAAGTTAAGCCGTCCAAAAAATCTAGCAGAATTTCCAGTGTTGCAAGCAAAACAAATTTGCATGAATCTATCAGTTTCATTAAAGGTTTCACAGCAGAATTTGAAGGAAAAATAGAAGATAAATTGGCATCACAGATATTGAGAACTTAAGGATATGTTTTTGGACTCATAAGAGTGACCAACAATTGTCAGTAAACTATTATAACAATTTTCTTGTACTCAACACCAAAAGATTTATTTGTCATGTTATGAGTTTCATGTGACAAGGAGCATTATATCGAGAAGAAGTTCAACTGTTGTCATGAATATGCAATCTCATATTAAACTAAAGGACGCATGCTAAAATTCTTCATTGTGTTCTCCACTTCAAAATGGATACAGAGTCATATTTGGGCTATGATAAAGGAAGCATGAAATACTAATTCTGATAGAGCATCCAAGAGATTCGGCTAAGTTCAAACTATCAGATGGAGATGTATATATGTGCTTCAAACTAGTGTTAGCGCCTTAAAACTGACCCTTTTCTTTCTCTTGGAACAAAAATTTGCTAACGAAGCAAGTACTTGATTTAGATTTTAACAGAAGTCACTCCTGACTAATAAAGAGCATCATCTGCACATATGTAAAGTAAGGTAACCTTTATTTTCCTTTCTGACAATTCTCATGCGACAAAGAAATTGTAATGAAGTATAATTAAGGCTATACTTGATTGGCATGAGGAATTGGTTTTCGAATGAAAAGTTGTTCATCACTTTTCATGTTTAAATATAGCATTTCGTGGTTGTTTCAGATTCAATCGGAGTCATTTGTCACAAGTGAGTTCAAAAAACATAAAGCCGAATAGCAAGATCCGTAAACTCATCCAAAACTCAATTTACAAAGTAAATGAAGGAAATGTGGAAGCACACAACAATTCAGCAAGCAATAAACAGGGAAAGCACTTAACAGTGTAGCCTTAGCAGCAGATATTGAAAAAGAAAAGCAGGCACAATTTGAAAAAAAAAACAAAATCACAGTGGTACCCTTGAAACACCCAATTAGAGTAATTAAGAACTTGTTGGAGACAACATCAGAAAACCCCACCTGAATTGACCTCAAAAACTTGAAAACATACATCATAGTCTTAAGATAAGAATTGAAAATGCAAGCACTTTGAAACCAAAATTCAGAACAAAATCATTGAAAAGGGTAAAAAGATCACAATGCACAGATCCAAAGACAAAATCAACAGTCACAAAACGCAGAGACAAGTACAAGACACTTAAAAAATAGAAAGAGAAGAGAGATGAAACACCACCACCATCCCAATACAGCAAATATACACAAACAGATACAACAAGGAGAGGATAAAACATATAAAAACAGGACCTTTACAGTAGAAATCCACTAAGATTGTCATCAGAATTAAGACAATGAAGAGAATTTCAAGAAATTACCTAAGACCAAGTCTTTTAAAATGCTCAACTCAAAATACAACCAACAAAATATCACTCATTTCAACACTAGCTCCAGCTCCTAGCTAACACCAAAGGAATCCAAGAAACCCCATCAACCAGAAAGAGGAGATAGCTCAAAAAGAGTAAAATTTAACTCAAAGAAAAATTGGAACTTTACAAAAAAGAGTCGATAAAGCCAAGAAAAAAGGATGCTTGTTAGATTGTCCAAAGTCAAGGCAAAAATCGAAATGCGGAAAGGATGGAGTATTTTGGATCTGGTGGGGCCACTGTGTCTCTGTACAAAGAGAGAGAAGAATAATTAGTACTAACTGACATGGGATGAGAGAGACATGGAATTTGTCAACATATTTTGGATCTATCTTCCCATTTATATCTATTCTTAGATTTTTCTTTATTTGAAAAATGGATAATCTTTTTAGATTCTTTCCACTATCCTTGTATTCTTCCCATGAACCAATTACAAACTACTTAAAATTCTTTTCCCTTTTTAATAATCACATATTATATGTGATAACAAAATCAGATTTCCAAGCACTATGCGGATAGTTTAGGAGGTAGTTGAACATTTTTTATCTGCATACATGTTAGGCTAGTGTGATAGGGTTTTATCTTAAACTACTAGTGGTTAATGTTATTTTGTTTCTTATGGTGCTATTTATTTTTTTATTGTTTTCTATTGATAGTACTAGAGGACTTTCGGAAACAACATCTTTATTCCATCGGGGTAGGGGTAAGGTCTGCGTACACTCTACCCTCCCCAGACCCTACTTATAGATTTTATTGATGTTGTTATTGTTGTTGTATTTGTGATAACAAAAATTAATTTGCTAATGTTTAAACTAAATTAATAGATATATGATATGTGTTAGTATATAGACTCGTTAGTACACTCAATCGTAACTAATTTATTCTCTCATTATTAAATTATTAAACTATGAAAAATTAATATGATTTGACATAAGCACAAGATGGTGTCGGGCACATTCTCAAGTTGTCCAGCTAAAGGCTCAATCGTTTAATCCTATTCTCTTTTGGTTTTTATTTCTATTCGGAGTTGGATTCGATTTTTATTCCTATTTAGAGTTGATTTTGGCTGAATTTCCATTTATATTAATATTATTATAATATCAATATGGCAGTAGTTTTCAGCATTATTTAATAGAAAATAACAGGGAGTATATACTCCAGCTACACAGTATCAACTAAGTTTGAGTAAATGATTAGCATGCAATTAATTTAATCCAACATAGAATTATATTGTGACAAATTAGATTACCCTTTTTCTTTATTTTTGGTTTCCCAAGATACGGTAAAGTTGAGGGTAACGCTGCATATCAATTTTTTTTTTAACAAATAACAAATTGGGATCTTTACATAAATAGTCGGCTATATTAATTATTTGCTTTTTCTAACCATATATATAAATTATACTTTGATTGTGAACAATTATATATATTTAATATATAAATTATATATATATATATTATACATTCATGGATATTTTAATTTAAGTGATAGGGTGAACGATTATTTGGGTTAATTCTTCCAAATTAAACAAATTTGCTAGGAAATAAGAGGAATCACTAGCAAAGTCTTCTTGGGCTGGATAGAAACACGTTGGGCTGAGCTGGATATTTTAGTGGGCTTACGGTCCAAAAAGAGGAGAGAAATGGGTTGAGCTGGATCCTTTGCGGACGTGAAAATAGCACCGGCTAGCCAGTTTTCGGACTGGTAACTGAAAAATAGTCAGTGTTTGCAAAGTCATTGAAAAATAGCTATTATTTTGTTACAATACGGAAAGTTCTAGTATAATATACTGGAGATTGGTGCACCTGTGTATGAAACTCCAGCACACGGAAAGTTCCAGCATAATATACTGGAGATTGGAGCACATGTGTATGAACTTCTAACATATTATTCTGGAACTCTAGCACACGGAGAGTTCCAACATAATATATTGGAGATTGGAGCACTCGTGTATGAACTTCCAGCATATTATGCTTTTTATGCTGGAAGTTTACATGCAAAAAATTCGAACTCCGATATATTATGCTGGAATATTTACCAAATTTTGAAGAGTATTTTTGTTCAAATTTATCTTTATATAAAAAGTGGCTAAATTTTAATTACTTTTGAAACTGTGGCTATTTTTCAATTACCACTTATAAATTTGGCATCTTTTGAATTTCGCCCTTTGCGGACCAGACGTGTCAAAAAATTTCACCGGTGTCTCTTTTGTGGATTTAACTTCTGTCCATGTTTAAAAAGTTTGCTAATAAATATACCTCCTCCTTCTTCTTTCTCATGTGATTTTTCATTTGCTAATTTCCATTGTATTATTGTGAATATGGAAAGCTCATTGATGATATTTTAAAATCAGAAAATTTTAGAATTCGAGTGTGGATCCATGAACAAACTATACACATTTCTGTGACAAAAATGTCTTGAAGTTAAAAATTTAGTTTAAAATTTTAGAAAAAAAATAAATACGGACTAATCTCTAAATAACATCTCTGAAAATGACTATATGTGCACTTGCCCTGCTAAATAATTCTATTTGTGCAAATCTCCCCAACCGGTAGTATTTTGGGAAATTACCAGCTATGTCCATTTATAGGTAGCTCATTACAAAAATTGGTCAATTGATAAAATATTACTAATATTAGCCAAATTAGCCAATTAGTTATTTGTAGCAAGAAAATATTAAATTTTTGCTTTGTTTTGAGTTGGTGTTATTAGAATAGATTGGGTACAACTTAAGGAGCTTGAATTTCAGTTTTGGGACGATTTGGTGAAGTTTTGAGGTGGTTTGAATTGAAAATTCGGTAAAAACTGAACATTAAAAAAATGATATGTGTATCACACTGTGTATCATTTATGTATCACATATGAATTTGTATTTATTGTGTATCACATGTATATCCATGTATACCTATTTGTGAGATACATGCGTAATACATGTCTGATACATGTGTCGCAGAAGACTTTTTTGAACTCGATTTTATTACGAATTTTGAGACAAAACCAGTCCAAATCACCTCCAATTTTCCTCAAATTTTGTATATTAACTTACCTATATATTTTCAATGAATTTCAACTATACCCATTGAAAAAGTTCCTTTTTATTTAGATTTTTGGAATATTGTATATATTTTTTGTATTTCATCATCTTATTTGCTACCTCATCCATAAAATTTCCTTTCTGTCTTGTATCTAGTGTTGCTAATCTTGCTTAAAAATATAGAAGGTGATTTTTGCATGTGATTCTTTAAGAGAAAGAACCCTATTATTTGGTTTTCCAATTTTTGTTGGCTAGTTTTGATAAGTATATAATTAATGGCTAGAGGTCGGTAAGTTGAGATTTATTTGGAATATTTGTGTAAGTTTCCCTAGCATTTTTCTTTTTAATTTTCCGACCTCTAGGCTCTAACGTAAAAGCAAGAGTAAAGAGTCATCACCCTTTTACTATATTTTTGTTTTGCTCTTCTGAATTATCTTTTCATCCACTTTGAACGATGTATACGTATAGTAAAACTAACCTTTATGGACAAGTGGGTTGAATCTGATAATTGATACTTGAAATTTTTACAAAAAAGATGGGCTACCCCCATTTCTTTTCCTTATCTTTTGGTTGGGGAAGTGAAACAACGTCTCTTTCTTTTTCTTTTTTTCTTGGAAAAGCAAAGAGTGGGACCTCAAAGTTTCAGACTTCTGTAAATTAGAAGTTATGGGCACCTACAAATATATTGACATCTAGAAAGAAGCCGAGTAAGTTTGGAGTTAACTCTTTTTCCCTAACATTTTCAATCACTTGGTTAGAAGAATAACTTTAGGGGTAATTTATTCGCGGATATATTATAAACAACAATAACAACATATTCAGTATAATCTCACATTGTAGGTGTAAGATTATTAAATCACAATCACGCAGAGATTGAGCCACAATCACACATATATATAAAATCATAATCTTAATACGTTTAAGGAAGCGTACCGTTAAACTCATGGATTAAGCATTGACGGCAAACGACGATTAAGCCTGAGACCAGCTTCCATAATCCACTAGCTACACGCTCTCATAGCCCGGAGAACTTGACTTATGAGACGACGTCTACCGTTACCACGTATTCAAAAGGCAGAATATGCTAGGATTGTCTAATAGCTTGGAAAATGAGGGTTGGCCTCTATTTATAGAGAGTGCCTACCCATCACAGGCCAATAGTTATTGGGTCTCACTTATCCACATACACAATATTTAATATTAGGCCTTTTATTTAATATTGGCATATTTTGTTGTTACATGCCTTTTTCTCTTGTTTCTTTTCTGATATTATTGTCTCTCCTGTTGAGCCGAGAGTCTCTTGAAAACAACCTCTCTATCATTTTTGGGGTAGGGGTAAGGTCTGCGTACACTCTACTCTCCCCAGACCCCACTAATGAGATTTTACTAGGTATGTTGTTGTTGTTGTATTTATCCACCACTTGGGCCACGTCACTGTTCTTTTAGGCTATAACCAATTAACGTAAGTCCAAATTCCAACAGTGGGGCGTGGGGAGAGTAGTGTGTACGCAGACCTTACCTCTACCTTTGTGGAGGTAGAAGGGCTATTTCTAATAGATCCTCGGCTCATACAAGTACAAGTACCACAATAATAACAAGAAACAAGATGGGACAACACCGAAAAATCATGTAAAAGCAGCATACACAACAAGCTAGTGGAAATAAAAGTATTCAAATAAGCTTACTATCAACCAAATACGAGAGTATGTACTAACACTATCAGTATGAATAATCTAGACTACCTAACCTACTATCCTAATCTTCGACCTCCACACCTTCCTATCATGGATCATGTCCTCGGTCGGCTGTAGCTGTGCCATGTCATGCCTAATCACCTCATCCCGACTCTTCTTCGGCCTACCTCTACCTCTCCTAAAGCCCTCCAATGTCAACCCCTCACACCTCCTTACCGGAGCGTATGTGCTTCTCTTCCTCACATGTCCAAACTATCTAAGACGTGCTTCCCGCATCTTGTCCGCAATAGGGGTCACACCCACCTTATCCCGAATAACTTCATTCAGACTCCTATCTAATCTAGTGTGCCCGTACATCCATCTCAACATCCTCATCTCTACCACCTTCATCTTCTGGACGTGAGAGCTCTTGATTAGGCAACACTCAGCCTCATACAACATAGTCGGCCTGACCACCGCTTTATAAAACATACCTTTAAATTTTGGTAGTACTTTCTTGTCACACAAAAACACCGAAAGCAATTCTCCATTTCATCTATCCTGCCCCAATACGATGTGTGACATGTTCATTAATCTCCCCATCCCCTGTATAATAGACCCAATGTACTTAAAACTCCGCCTCCCAGGGATGACTTGTGATCCATCCTCATCTCCCCCTCCACTCCCTGATTAGTACCACTAAACTTACACTCAAAGTATTATGTCTTGGTTCTTCTCAGCTTGAAACCTTTAGACTCGAGGGTCTGTCTTCACACCTCTAACCTCACGTTAACACCGTCTCGCGTCTCGTCAATCAAAATAATGTCATCTGCAAATAACATCCACCACGGTACCTCCCCTTGGATGTGGCGAGTCAGTACGTCCATCGCCAGGGTAAATAAAAAAGGACTGAGTACGGACCCGTGATGCAACCCAATCATGACCGAAAAATGGTTTGAGACCCCTCTGACTGTCCTCACACAGGTCTTCGCTCCCTCGTACATGTCTTTAATCACCCTAGTTTAGGCCACATGCACCCTTCTAGCCTCCAAACATTTCCACAGAACCTTCCTCGGGACTTTATCATCGTAAGTCTTTTCTAAATCGATAAACACCATATGCAAGTCCCTCGTCCTCTCCCTATATTGTTCCATCAATTTCCTAACAAGGTGAATGGCTTCCGTAGTCGAGTGCCCTGGCGTAAACCCAAACTGGTTCTCAGAAATAGACACCCTTCTCCTCACCCTTAGCTCCACCATCCTCTCCCATACCTTCATAGTATGACTAAACAGCTTAATACCCCGATAGTTGTTGTAATTTTGGATCACCCTTATTCTTGTACACATGAACCATCATGCTCCATTTCCAACTTTTCGGGCCTCTTTTTCGTCCTAAAAATGATATTAAATAACCTAGTAAGTCACTCCAAGCCCGCCCTACCCACTCTTCCAAAATTTCACTGGGATTTCATCTGGCCCGATCGCTCTGCCCTTGGTTATCTTACGCATAGCCCCCACAACCTCTTCAACTCTAATCCGCCTACAATACAAAGTTGCAATGATTTCGGAGGATCCCAAAGGCGGATATCATTATACCGATACTATAATGTTGGAATAATAATATTAAAATAATAAATCTTACAGAAAAGAATTAACGATCCTTAAATTATTTAGTACTAACATTTTATTTGGTTCCTTGAATAAAAAACAAGATCAATGTTGAATAGTGTTTATATTAAACATGGATTTATGATTTTGAAAGTAAGTCAATAAATATTATTAAACATGGATTTATGATTTTGAAAGTAAGTCAATAAACTTTTAGAGCAAGTCAAATACACCATATTCAAGCTATAAATAAAACGTAAGTTCTTATACAAACACGTTCTCGTTCGCTTGCCTTCAAACTCTCAAAGATACCTCATACATAAGGAAAAAGGAGAAACTAGAACAAAAAGGGAAAACCCCACAAGAAAGAAACATATGACACTAGCTTAATTAAGATACACAACCAATAAAAAGAACAACCTGCTCCACAAAGAATCCGACAGTCACACAGGGCTGGAAAAGGCCGCACCTCAAGAGATGTAATATAGGCAGTTTACCCTAATGCAAGTATTAATGGCTAATTCCACGACTCGAACCTGTGACATATAGGTTACGACGGAAATAACTTTATCACTGCTCCAAAGTTCCTTCTAAGATGCCTACAACAATTGGCAATAAATTAAAATTTGTATTTGTGAGAATTAAGTAGGTTTAGTAACAGGGTATTTTTGAGCATTCTTGAGAATCTTGGTAAGAGCTGCTTGACCTAAATCAAGTCCACAAACATCAGCAAGCTGAACTAGATATAGCAAAACATCAGACAGTTCCTCCTCCAAATGTTCCTTATCATCTGATGTCCAATTAGGTAGTCCTCTTTCAACTTCCCCTTTCCACTGGAATATCTCTGATAGCTCTCCCACTTCTCCAACCTGGTCCAACAATTACAAAATAGACTATTAGTTTCTTATAATATAAAGTACACACATACGTCTCTAAACTATACCCTATATAATAACACTTCATTATAATGGCCAAGTTTTCTTTGGAACCATTCTTCATGTTATGTTATAATGTAATAAATGTTCTCTATAACAACACTTCACTGTAACAGTCAAAGAAAAAAAGAGGACAAGATTTGACTGTACATGTATGAACTCTATATATAGACAGAGTTGGATCTATGATAGATTCTATGGGTTTAACTAAACTCAATTGTTTTCAATTCACACAGTGTGACCATAGCAAAAATTATTTTCATATGTTTGGTCCATGAAAAAGAATTAGTTATGCACATGGATGGCGTGTTGAGACATAATATATACTCTAGATACCATGTTTGAAATTGTGTGATCTACTCATCCAATTAAAGGCTTAGGAGATGGTCACATAATATTATCGTACATGCGCAAAAATAATAATTTAAATATATACATATAATAAGATCACACTCATTATGAATTTATCGACAGGTTTTTTTAGACATGTTAGGAGGCTTACCAAAGCGAGAAGAAGGTTCCTAGGACTGTGATACTGATCCCAACCTCTAACTCTGGCAAATTCTGCAAGCCTATCTCTAAGCTCCTTAAGAGAGACATCCTTCATTACCTTCCTACTATATTCATAGGAATTACTATTCTCCATCTTCTCTTTGTTATGTAATAGCAGTAGTTCATGTTTCATTGTCTCCTTATCTCACTACTTATAGACAATCATCTATTGCTTGTGTATGGTTTTTTTCTTTTTGTTTTCAAGTTATTATTTTTTAAGATGGTGGGTTTTTAGGTGATATGACTAGCTTGTTTAGTTAGTGGAGGGACCTTATTTCAGGACTTAATCACGTGAGGTATGGTAAAGATGTTTATGTGTTTCTTTCTATATGACTTGATATCACTCACTCTCATCACCTGCCTCAATTTGCTAGGAAAATAGGTTTCCTATTCGTCTACTATGGGACAATTCCTTTTTCCACGTTAAATCTCTATCAGGTCTCACCTACACTTGCTTTTAATCTTCCCCTAGCCTTTTATTTTGGATTTATCTCCTTCAACTTGTTGGGAGGTGGTAATTGAGTGTATTTTGTAACCTTTCTGTTATTATTTTGTTTTGTTTTGATGTTGCAAGATTGCCACAAAATTTGTTTGTCCTTCTTTATTTTTGATCGTGGAGTCTTGTAGACAAACATATATAGCAAGATCCCCATATGCCGTACTGGTATCGTAAATTTCGGACTATGCGGCATTGATCTAGACAATATGCTCTGTTTGTTTGGAGACTTTGTATCCTATTGAAAAAGATTTAACTTATATATATCCTCATTGTAAAGTATTTTTATAATATCAATATTAATTTATATACTGTCATAGCAGATTACTTGCCTTATTTTGTAGATTACTAACTCCACAAATTGAAGGAGAGCCTTGGATCAACAGTCAAGTTGTCTCCGTGTGATCTATAGGTCACGGGTTCAAGTCGTGGAATTAATATTTGTATCAGGCTAGGCTGCCTATGTTGGTTTGAATAAGTTTGTTTTGATGATTGACAACGGAACACATGCATGAATCAGGTCCATGGATAGTATACACAGGTGACGGACAAAATTAAGCAAAAGGCTTGCACGTGAAAGAGATAAGTATAAGTGGATATATCTTATATTCCCTGAACGAAAATGTTGCATATTTGTAAGGAGCCCTGGACTCCTTACTTGAAGGGAACTCTATCCAAGATAAGAGAAGAGTTAGAAGTGAAGTTGATTAGAACTCTTCCACCAAGGAAGAGTAAAGCATTAGAACTCTAGTTAATCTTTATTTACTAACTCTATAAATATTGGTTGTGTTCTCTTTTATAGGTGAGGCATACATATTGAAGTTAAGCACGAATTGAGAGCAAAATAGCAAGACATTTTGTGAGCAATTCCTGTGAGATTTAAAAGTGCGATCCTAAAGCTACACGAACCGGATTGAAGAACTATCTCCATAAAGAGTTTTATCTGTCTTTCTTTATTTCTAGTTCAAAGTGTAGTAGGTGTTTTGAGTTGTACCTCTCAGCTTTCTTAGAAGCAAATTGTACTAGGTACCTGAGTTGTATCTTTCAAGTTAGAGTTAATTTGAAGTAGTCGCAACAGCTCGTGACGTGTTGCTATAAAGGTTAGACTTAATCCTTAGGTTCGCAAGAAGTTGTAAACTCTAGTTGTATTGTTCAAGTTAGAGTTAACTTGAAGCGGTCGCAACAACATGTGACTAGTTGCTATAAGGGCTAGAATTAATCCTTAGGTTTGCAAGAGTTTGTAAACTTTGTTGTTGGCTTAGAGTTGTAGTGAAATGTTTGGAGAAAATCCTACTGAGTAGTAGGTCGTGGTTTTTCACCTTTTGAGCCGGGTATTTTCCACGAAAAAATACTTGTATTCTTTACTTTCCGCATTTACTATTTCGCAACAGTAGTATAAGGAACACATTAAAGAACCAGGTCCTTCTATAATCTGTGCACGCGAAAAAGTGGACACCACACAAATCACCCCCCTCTTGTGTGGTATTGAAGTATAAAACATCAATTGGTATCAGAGCAGGTTATCCTTGAAGAGACTAACACCTTAGGAGAAGATCAAGATGAGTGCACCACCTGAAAATTGGGAAGGACAATCTACTGCTAGGCCACCACTCTTCAAAGGCCAGTACTACTCCTGGTAGAAAAACAGAATGAGAGACCACATCATAGGAGATGACTATGAGCTATGGGATATTGTCACTGATGGTCCCCCGACTACCATGAAGAAAATACTGAAGGAGTAGATGTGCCAAAAACAAGAGTTGACTGCACCGCTGAGGACTTGAGGAAATGAGAGAAGAATGCTAAGGCTAAGAAATGACTTGTGTGTGGACTTGTTTCAGACGAGTACAACAGAACTCAAAGTTGTACCACTGCTAAGGAAATTTGGGACACTTTGCAAGCGGCTCATGAAAGAATACCTCAAGTGAACAGGTCCAGATGAACACTACTATATTCTCAATATGAGAATTCACTATGAAGGAAGGGGAAACCATCCAAGAGATGTATACAAGGTTCACCACACCGACAAATGAACTTAAGTCTCTTGGAAGGATTATTCCTGAAGAAGACAGAGTTGAAAAGATTTTGACAGGGTTCTACCAGTCACTTGGGGGAGCAAAATCACTGTCATTCAGGAATCAAAGAACATTGCCACTCTTAAGTTGGATGAGCTGATTTAAAATCTCATTGCTTATGAACTTAGATGGCAAACCATGAAAATGGATGTACCCAAAGGAAAAGAGCCCGACACTCAGAATCACTAAAGGTTTTGAACTAGAAGACGATGAAATAGGCATGACCACAAAGGACTTTAAGAAATACCTAATGAGAGGAAAGGATACTTCAAGAAGTGGAAGCTACAACAAATCAAGGGCTCCTGAAAAGCAAATCAATGAGAGGTGCTATAAGTGTAGGAAGACTGATCACCACATCAAAAACTGCGCTCAATGAAAAATTAAATAGAATAAGGAAAGAGCTGAACGAAGAAACAAGAAGAAGGAACATGTTCAACCCAAGAAGAACAAAGGATCAACAAAGGCTATGGTTGCTGCTTGGGAGAAAGCTCAGATGATGAAGATGGAGATGAACAAGCACTTATGGCCATTGGAGATTCTGATGAGGAATCTGAGCTAAGTGTAATTCATCTCAAAGACAAGATTAAATTTTTGTCTAAAGAAAGGCTATCTAAGTCACTTCTAGATTTCATTGATGAATCTGAGGATGTAAACAATGAAAAGGAACAGCTGTCTAAGGAATATATGATTTTAAAAGCTAAGTGCAAAAATCTGGAACTTAGGTCTAGTGAAAGTGAAAATGCTGTGTTGAAGAACCAAGTTCATGAACTTGACACCACTTTCCTAGAGCTTAGATCTGAAAATCTAAAATTTAAATTAGGAACATGTAAAAAGAAAGTTGATCACACACAACTCACTTTAGAAGAAAATATAGGAAAAATGAAAGATGAGTTGTAAAAAAGAGATGAGCAGATAAGAGTCCTAAATGAGGATCTAAGCAAATTCAAGCACGAGCTAGACAGAACCTATAAATAGAACAGGTTCTCCGATGCACTTTTATGGCTACATAAACACCATAACAGCAATAAGAGAGGACTTGGCTACGGGACTCCTGCACCTAAGTGGGATCCCAAAAGCAAGTACCTCACACTTCCTAAGAATAAAATTTGCACACACTGTGGTAAAATTGGTCACTATAAAAGTGAATGCACTACAAAATAAAAGGCTAGTCAAAAGAATAAAAAATTTGTTTACTAGAAAAATAGGCTACCAAATTGAGCTAAAAAGAATCTGATTCACCCTTTTGCCTATAGAAAGGGACCCAAACTAATTTGGGTTCCTAAGACTAACTCCTGATTTTCTTTTGCAGGTTCAAGTGAAGGGGAGAAGCCAAATATGGTACATAGATAGTGACTGCTCAAAGCACATAACAGGAATCAAGAACCAGTTCCTTTCACTTGAGGACCTTAAAGGAGGTAATGTCTCCTTTTGAAATGGAAAGAAATGTGAGATCATCCGGGTTGGAAAGGTAGGTAAGACTGATTCTCACTCTATTGATAATGTCTACTTGATATATGGACTGAAGTACAATCTAATAAGTGTATCACAATTGTGTGATAAAAGGTAACATGGTAGCCTTCACCTTGCTTTGTGATTAATCTTATCATTGACAAGATTATTTTGCAGGAAAAAAAAGTGAACAATATATATATATATATATATATATATATATATATATTGGATATGTCTACACTCTCTTATAATGAACTCACATGCTTAAGTGTATTGGATAATGATCCTCTCCTTTGGTGCAAAAGACTTGGACATGCTAGTCTAAGTCAACTCAACAAACTAGTCTCCAAGGACCTAGTGATATGACTGTCTAACATTAAGTTCAAGGAAGACAAAGTTTGTAAGGCTTGTACAAGGGGGAAGTAGGTAAAATCCATTTTCAAAAGCAATAAAATAGTAAGTACCACCAGAACGATGGAACTGGTTCATATGGATCTTTGTGGACCAATGAGAACTCTGAGCAGAGGTGGTAAAAGATATATTATGGTGTTTGTTGATGATTACTCTAGGTTTACTTGGACACTGTTTCTAACATCTAAAGATGAAGCATTTGACATGTTCATTTCTTTTGTTAGAAAAACTCAAAAACAACTAGGTAATCAACTTACATCAATTAGATCTTATCATGGTACTGAATTTGAAAATGCTAAATTTGCCGAATTTTGTGATGAGCATTGTAAGCACGTGATTTTTGCCCAATATGAGAATTACTCCCAAAAAATTCAAAAATAAA